AGATTATCTTCACGGTCAGAATGAAGTGCTTCATTCTCTAAGTGGGTAACGTTGGTACCACTATGTGAGCTAGACTTACCATCACCATTTGAAACAACAGCGCCAGGAACACCAGCTGTGCACTGAGTGTTTTCATTAAGTGGACCAACACCGGTTCCAGAGGAAACATTTCCACCACAGGGAAGTTTTGATTCTGTGCTAGGCGTCAGCGGGGAATTAATACCAGTGTGAGGCAGTGGTTGCTGTGGTTGAACACCACCGTCACGACTCGCACTACTTGCCAGAGCACCAGCAACGGTCTCAGTTGTACTGGTCGCTGTCGTGGTTGTACCAGGAAAAGGTGGAACACATGGAATAGCCTTACCCCCTACATCCTTAGTGCCAGTGGAAGTACAATCAGTCGGAGTATCAACCGTAACATGGTGAGACGCGATACCTTTCATGGGGTCTCCAACACCTACACCAGGAATCCCAGTACCGAGGCGAGACGTATTTGAAGGAGTTTGAGAACCAGTACCAGGACCAAGACCACCAGGAACAGCACCAGAAGCGGGCGCAGTACCACTGTTACCAACACCATACCCAGCTGCTTGATCCTCAGTGGAAGGTTGAGGTTTAGGTTTTTGTGGATCAGCCCGCACACATCCATAGGCGCAGCACAACATGAGAACCAGTACACACAGCACGTGACGCATCATTTCCTTCATAGTCATAATAGTAGTAGTGGGTTTCGCTTAAAAGCAATGGACTAAATAATAGAAAAACAATATGAGAGATAAAAAAAACGTAATCAAACACAGTAACACAAAAAAAAAACACAATAATGTAAAAATAAAAAACCAAACCAGTTACAGAAAACATATCACCAAAATAAATTCAGTAAGAAAACGAAAAAACAAAAAACGCCAATCGTCATACGATACAGGGCACAATACACAACGACTCAGCAAACCATTAGCAAAAAACAGAAATATATTAATCATTATCCCAATTTATCCAGTAAAAACACAGAAATACACTTACTATGGGTGTAAGTCTATATGTGTGTATATATACGCAATTATAAATATAAATTCATCTGTTATTATTATTATTATTATTTCATTACTTTTCAGTACAAAAAAGCAGTTCATCATCATCATCATCATCATCATCATTACAGTGCAAGCCCAGGCAGACACAGAGAGAGAGTCTCCAAGAACAGACACACACACACAATGGAGTAGCAATAATAATNTGCTGCTGCTGTCTGCATCACCCTTCTTGTTGTTTGTGAGTTCAGGTGGAAGTGTTGTAGTTGTAGTGGGTGTAGTTGAAGTCTCATTACTGGTTGTATTGGAAGTGTCCTTTGGTGATTCAACCTCTGCATGGTTCGCAGCAGCATTAGCATTCTCAGTCTGAGCATTTTGAGCTTGAGTATTTTGTGTGTTGCCAGAAGATTGAGGTTGTTCCGTTGTATCGCTTTGGGCGATCTGAGAATTCGGTGAATCTGTAACAGATGCATCAGAAGTCTGTGAAGAAGGCTGAATATGATTTCCTTCTGCTTGTTGATCCTCGTTATTGTTAGTAGTCCCTGTACTTCCCACTTCATGTGTTGAGGATGTTGTAGCTCTCCTTGAATTCTCTGGACCCTCTTCTTTTGACGGATGCTCCAGGTTCGTTTCTGTTTTCTGTCCTGCGTTTAGACTCCCTTTCTCCTGTCTTTTATCTGGAGAGTCATGTCCTTCACGTTCCTGAGGGCCCAACTCCTCTCTCCCGCTATGGGTATCACGATTAGCCTCAAGACGTGATGAAGAACCGCCACCTTCAACTTTATTCTGTCCCCCACCGTGACTGGACTGATCACCAGGAACATGAGGTTCAGCAGGTGGTGGTGGTGGTGGTACTGGTGGAAGTTGTCCAGGAGGAGAACAAGTACGTCCAGTAGTTTCAGCTTGACCATCAGTGCAATTAGGAGGAAGTTGGGCGAC